GTTCCAAAATGTTGCTATATATCACCTGGGCAATGGCATTGTCACCTGGGCAATGGAAAGACTTCACCAGAAGGGTCCAAGGGAAGCTTTTCCTTAATCACTTGATTTAAGTAGAAGTGGATTTTTATTTTTGAGTGCCAAAGAGCACAGATGAAACGGTAATTTAAAAATAGAGGAAAGTGAAAAAACTATTTTTAGTTTTGAATTTTTAATGTAGTTGGAAATAGACAAAGATAGTAGAAAAACTACACAAGCAGATGAACATACTTTCTCAGCAGTTGCCTAAAATTGGGCTTTGACCTTGCAGTGGAGGTTGGGAGTAGAAGGGAAGGGAATCAGTTCCACAACCTGGCCTTTGCTCAAACCAGGCCTCATGGTGCTAGCAGCTTCCCTAGTCTATCACCAAGCCCATTAAGCTACAGAAGTTTACTGCACCAGAGGTAGTGACCCTGTCTCTTTCACTTGATGGCTTCTCTGTTTAACATGATGTAAAATGTGATCATGATCTTTGCTTAGTACGCCACCAAATAAACAGCTCCTCTGAGTTTATATTCAACTCACATATTCCTGTTTGTTCAGGCCTTATATCCATGTTTGTATTGGCTCCATCTGGGATTTGGCTACTATCTGAGAATACAATAGGCAGGGAACAGTTACCTTAGGGACACTTGGAAACAGGCTTATTAATGTTCTCCACAGTATTTCCCTGGGGATAATGAAAGATCAGCCAAGGAGCCACTGAAAAATGTTCAATAAATAGAGAATATGTTATCTAATGTTATCTCGCATATATTATAATGTCTAGTTTATATGGTAACAAAATAAATAGCAATCATGTATGAAATGTAATTTATACTAAATATTAAGCTAAATACATAAATAATCTAAAATAAATAATACTAAAGACTACCTCAAGGCCTAAGGAAATGCCAATAATTTCACAAAAACATTCTAACTTCAAGGTGGTATAAAACTTTAGTCCTATAGCTCCAGGCCTCATATGTAAAAAACAAGGGCCAGGATTACCCGATGTACTATCAAAATCTGAATCAGAGCCTGTCCCTCAGGGATATCTTTTCAGGTTTTGCTTTTTTCACTTCAGGGTTTATATCTGACTGTAGCAACAGGTGTATGGGGAGGGAAACGTGATCTAAAAGGGCAAAGGCCACTTCCTTCTTCTGTCTTACACTCTGGCTCAATTGGAAGTGTGATTCCAGGCCCCTGGCATGTGCACTTGGGCAGCCCAGCCCAGCTGTCCTGAAACTTGGCTGCACAAGGCTCTTTGGCAGGTGTTTGGCTCAGTGTTTCTTGCCATGTCCAGCCATTAGCAGCAAATCCAAGGACAACAGTCCCTAAGCGTACATATTTGGCACCCACTACAGGCTGGATAAACAGTGGATCACAGTGCTTCCCTCTATTTCATGGGATAGAGAGAAAAACAAGTATCTAATAAGCCCCTAACAAATGCAAGTCATAAAATACAATATGTCCAAAACTAAAAGAACAGAGAAAAGATAGTATCAACTATCTGGCAAGACTTTGTAAAAAAGGTAACAGGGAAGCTGAGTAGTGAAAGAAACTCTCCATGAAGTACAAGGAAGGAAATTTTGGGCAAGGGAAACAGTGTCTGCAGAGGACTGGGAAGGAATGGGGTGGGTAGGGTGGACCACAGATTTCAGAGCAGAGGGAAGGTCAGGGTGAGACGTGTGAATATGGGGAGTGTGGTGACAGATCACAGTCAGGACTTTAATTTATATAAAGAACAATGGCACATTCACCAGAGTGTTATATCTCACTGCACTTTATATAAATCTAAACAATTCTATGATTGAATTTCTAGTTTCAAAAAAGCACCAGGGCTGCTGTGAAGAAAATGGATTGAAGGGGAAAAGCTGCAAAGAGATTAGATGATTCAGGAGAGAATCCTGTTAGCAGAGATTCAGAGACACAGATGTAACTGGTAAATACTTTGATGATCAATTGTACATGATGAAGAAAGAAGCGTTTCTGTTTGGACACATAGATGGGTAGAGATACGACTTCCTGGACTGAGAAAACTGAAGGATGGGAGAGGAGAAGAAGTTCAGTAGTTTTTTAATGGATGTATTCAGTTGTAAAGACCTGTGAACTATCTGAGTGCAGATGTCAGGCAGATTCCAAGATGTGAGTGGAAATGCATAAAAAGGTTGGGAGCTAGAGACGTGCATATGATAATCATCAGTATATACAACTTCTTTGGAGCCACAGAGAGAAAAGAAGGTAAAGGTACAAGAGAAATGTTTTTTGATTAGAAGTGAGTATCAGCAAGAGAAGAGTGATAGGAGGTACACCAGAGAAGTATAATCCACAGAAGCAAAGACAGAGAAGAAAGAAGCCAAGAAGAGAGTTGTCTTCGGCATGGAATGCTGTTCATGAGTCTAATCACAAAAATAGTGAAGAGGCCCCTTTGGACTGGAAAGCACAGTAATCTTCAGTCATCATTAGAGGAGAAAATTTATGGAGTAGCGCAGGTCCCTGCCAAGTGGAATAGGAAACAGTGTGGAAATGAGAAGGAAGAGACATGGTGTACTCATAAAACCAAAAACTTCATGACTGAGAGAGAGAAAGTCGACTATTCTTACATAATAAAGAAGTAGTTTATTTTAAAGTGATAATAATTTTTAAAAATAATAATGGTGGTAAGCGAATTGGCAGGGCTTGTGCAAAAGTCCTGAAGACCTGAGTAAGTGTAATGCGATGACTTTCAGACATATCCAAAAGCACTGGTGTTTCATGAGAGAACAGAACCTTCCATAGCTGTGAGAAGACTGGGGGCTTCACATTTCTCACTACCAAGCAGTGAAACCATCAATCTCAGAGCCAATGGGAGAAAAATGGACCAGAGATTTTAACAGACTGAGGATAGGAAACAGCTGTCATAAAATGGCAAAATAAGTTTACTTGAGAAATATAATAATGCTGCCAAGCAGTGCTGAGTCTCTACTAAAGCTTGGCTATAAAAACTATGCATTAATATCATATTGCCTGGTCTTTGTTCTCACTCCCCTTTTTCTCTCTGTAGCCCCTCACTCAAAGCAGCAAATGCCAGTTTTTACACTATTAGACAACAGACAGTAATTCTACTTGCCAAAACCAACTAATCCCCCAACAGCTGTGGGAGCTAGTCCTATAGTTCAGGCCCCTGCAGTCCCCTCTCCTTGCGTTGCTTTTGTCAAGCTATCAAAACAATAAGAGATGGAGGTGGCTTCTTTGCCTGTTTCTGCCCATGTCCCAGGAGGCCCACTTCTACCTTGGGACTACAGAGGATAGCACACCTTTCTCTGGGAAGTGAGATTCCCCATCAGCTCAGCTTGGTTCACTTTTGTGCAGAACCTGTTTGGTTCACTGTTGGCTAACAACAGACAGACAAAAAAATTGTAGGCTGTGCCATAAGTGAACGATACAAAGATAACTACATGGAGGAGAAAGGAAGAGAGTTTACAAGGTACATGAAACTCCATCCCAAGTTCCACAATGATATATTTGAAAGTTTTTTGGGGGGAGGGGGTACCGGGGATCCAACTCAGGTTCTTACACTTGCAAAGCAGGTGGCAGAACCACTGAGCTAAATCCCCAGCCCTCCACAATGATCTAAACAATACTACAGTCACAATAGTATTACTTAATTTAATTTGTATTTACTTAACAGTAAAATAATATTTATATCAAACAAGGTGTCTGATAACCCCAACAAAAGATTTTCACGGTATCAGTGCAGAAAAACATAAGGTTTTAATTGAAATCTATACTGAAGACTTAGACAATCAGTCCTTTCACTTGGTTGTGCACATTTTTTAAAAAGGCGTACTGGCTACTCAAACATATTCTTCACTATTTCAAAGACTGGATTAGAATAAACATATAAAAAGGCTGTGTAGTTTTTTTGGCAATTAGGTAACCAAAAAACTGATGTGGAGCTTTTAATCCAACTTCCATTTTTGACAATGTCATTTGGAACTCATTCCTTGGCTCGAAGATCAAATGCCCTTATTTATGGGTCTCAAAACAAGTAAGAGCATTAAAAGGAAGTCACATCCAGCAGAATTTTTTCCCACACAAGACCACTAGAATTTATTCAAATGAAAGATTTTTCTTTTTCTCAGCTTAATGAAGAACACGATAGGCAAGAAAAAAATATGTTAAATTTCATTTGCTTTTCGCTTTCCCAAAGCAGAATTTCATTTTTAATTTTAATTTTAGTTCAGTTGTAACCAAGTCATAAAGACAGAGGAATGTATAATATTTCCAAGAGGTAGAAAAAACCCTCACTAACAAACAAACCAACATAGTGAATTCTAAATCTGCAAATAATTTTCCACACTCTGTCTACTAGGTATCAGTTAACACTCAGGTTAAGGCATAAAAAGCATAAGCAGGAGTTCATGCAAGCTAAATGTCACTTGTACCTTATAGATAGTATTTGTCTGGCAGTGTGTAAGAGAACCCCCCCCATTTTTTTTTCCAAAGAGCAGTGCACTTGCATTGCAGAGAATAGCAAGGCAAGACAAGTGAGATAAGTACCTCCCATTCATTTTCTTTTTAATAAACAGAAAAGAAGAAAAGCAAGTCCTTTTCAATATGCCTAACCCAACCCTACGGGATAACAATGATAAGGAAGTTCACTATTTCAAAAAGAAAAAGAATGAATGACACCCAAAAAATGCAGTGAAATCAGAAGAATACAAAGGCTGACGGTGGCGGGGGGGGGGTAGCTCAGTCATCCTCAGTTGAATGAGATATGAAATATTAGCTTCCAAATTATATGAGCTCTGCTGCTCAGTCCCTGGCTTTTTGGGGACAATTTATGATCTTAGAACTTCTCTCTAGTGACAGTGCCTCTGGGATTATGACACAAATGTAAAATCACAGGAATTGTAAAAATCACGGGAACATTTAAATTTAATCAACTGAGGACACAGCTTTATCCATATGAACCATACTCTAACAAAATTTTCTTTTACCTTGGTCTTTTCACCAACAATGTTCTTTTCCAGTTCTGCTATTTTCCGGTTTAGATGATCCAAAATCTCCTTCTCCTTCATTAGTTCAGTTGTCTCAGATTTCTGTTCCCCGTCCAAAAGGGCACATTCCATATCCAACTAAGGATACAAAACAGAGCACAATAGCATTTCACCTCCAGGAATACTTTCAGTTGCCCATTGTGGAGGTACATGTTTAGCAGCTAAAATTTTCCAAAAGTGCTGCTGGTCAGCCAGACTTTGGGGCACAAAGAACACTTTGGAGAGCCCCTAGGTTGGTCAGGATTCCTACTTGAGAGAGCTCAGAGTGCATTTGCTAAGGAAACTAGTTATCCTACAACCCCCTTTTGCTAACTTCTTCAGCTTAAGCACAAACCACCTTGGGAGAGGCCACGTCTTTGTCCCTGGTAGGAATGAAAGTCAGTCAGCCCAGCCCAGCACTTGAACTCTGCATTCCAAGCAATGCCAGCAGGAGGGGCTTTCAGGACCCATGCACAAGATGACAGGTGAGCAGTCCCCTTACCACTTACGGGGCTTTGGGCACCATCTGTGAGGACATTCAGATTCCCTTAGAATCAAACATTGCCTCCCACTCCATGGTGGTAACATAAAAATTGTCACAATCTTTTATTACAGCTAAGATATCTGTCTGCTCCTTGTTTTGCAAATCTTTAGAAAGCTTCATTTATATTTAACTCATGTGGGGACCCCTCTATCATGCTAACATGGTAGCTTACTCATAGTAAACACGCTCAGCAGATGTTTGTTGCTTTTCAACTTGAACGCTTAAATATAGGATACTTTGGCTAACAGATTCTGTAATCAGAAAACACATGTAGTACTAGTCAAGACAAAACTGGCTGTACATAAATTATGTTAAAGAAGGCTTTATATGTTTATGTCAACTGTTAAAAAAATCCAGAAACATAAGGAATGTAAACAAGGTCATTTTTACTTTATATTGGTACCCATTGAACAAACGTTTGATGACGTCACCTCTCTGTATCTGTCCTTCAAGACCTGTGTTTTTTTTGTCTTTTTGGTACTGGGAATCAAACCCAGAGCCTCATGCTTGCCAGGCAGGCACTGTATCGCTGAGCTACATCCCCAGCCCAGACCTGTGTTCTAATAAGCAGAAATATTTTTAAGCTAAAGGAAAAAAATTTATACCTCTCTGGAAGATTCATCCATCTGGTCATTTATATCTTTGATTTTTTGTTCAAGCTCTTCAAGGTTGTTCAGAATTACTATCCGGGTATTCTCCATTGCAGCCAATTCCTGAGCCCGCTGCTCCTCACTTATGCCTTCTGGGGTCTGTGATTAATCAACAGATATGAGTTATTCACTTTAGTTCCAGACTTCCCTGATTTTACTTGTGAGCCAGCTGCAGGCCTAATGTTTAACAGTCTCCATGCCTGCATAAATGCTAAAAGCATCTCTGGACTGGTTTAAGCAAATCTCTGATACATTTACTCAGACGTCACTCCATGCTCAGCAGTTATATTCTGAGATAAGCTCAAACTAACCAATCTCAATTCACAAATTCATATCTGCTTAAAGCTAAAAGAACTTACACAGATGAGGAAGTTGTGGTATACAGAGACTCAAGTGGCTTCTCCAATGTTATAGAAAAACTTCAGGATAGCAGAAAACTTGAACCAAGGCAAGACTACTGACATCTTTCTTAGGAATCATTTCAGTACACTGCTATCTTTAGTTCAAGCTCCGTATTCTCTCCAATCTCCTATAAAAGCCTCTTGAATCTCCAGCCATATTCACTGCTAGGGTTGTCTATAAATGAACATCTATGCTTGTTTATTAGGTTTCCAATACAGGGTGGGAAACAAATATCAGATTGGTGAGCCCCGAAATGATTTAAAACTACACATTCAATTTTGCTAGTTGCTGTTTCACTTTTTGTATTAGTGTACTATTTACTCTATTTCATAGAGAACTTCTTCCTATGTAATATTTAAGACCAGCCAGGCTCTATGATTGAAAGCAGGACACTGACCAACACTTATTCTATGGAAAAACTGAGTTCCTGGCAAGGAATGAGAAAGTCAGCAAATGAATTATGAGAGAAAGGACATACTTAAACAATTGAATAGTGAATGACAAATGCTCAGGGAAGAAAGCAATATTGTAGATCATACACACAGCCTAAATATGACTGCATACAGCTTAAGAAAAGAATGTAGTAAATTCGAAACATCCTCTTCTTTCTAGAATTCCAGGTTGGCTCTCTTGAGTATCACCTAATAGAGACCAGGCTTTCAGTAAAGCAAGAGAAGACAGTACTGGTATATTATTTATTAATTTTATCTGTTTGAAAATAAACCTTTTAAAATAAATCCCTAATTAGACAACTCCGCCATTAAAACATTGAAAACAACAGTCCAGTTAAGTAAATTACTGGAGACTGATCACTAATACTTAAAAAGAATATTGAAATTAACCCAAGAAACCTCTAAAATTTAGGGTATCTCACTACCTTCCTTTAATTTATCGATTTCAATAATAACTTTAAGAAAATAGTCATTTTGCCATATTGGATTCTTTATTCTTTATTTTTGCAGCTCCTTAAGGAGATTAAATGATTGAGAATTCAGTATCTCAGTTTAGAACAAAAGTTCCCGAGCCTTCCAAGCTCTGACATTTTGCTTAATTTTCATCTTAAATCCAAAATCTTACCAACTAATGGAGCAACCACTGACCTTTTTATTACAAACAATGAAACTCATTGTCTTAATATGTGGGTACTGGTTTTAAGCCATGAGGAATGTTGGTAACAGTGAATGGCATTCCAAAATCCCAGACCAGTAATCCCAGCAGGAAGGCCTCAAGAAGGCCAGTATCCTGTTGGGTCAACATCACGTATTAAGTTTCGACTTCCAACATGGTTTAAAAATATTTCTCTCACTGGTGGAAGCAAAGCATTTTGAAAGACAAAACAACTGAGCAATCCACAAAACTATAAAGTTTAGAAGTGGGGAAAACAATTAGCAGTGGAAATTTTAAGTATTTTTGTAACTCCAAGTTTTTAGGAAGTATCACAATAGGTATATTTAATAGATAACTTAAGAGGCTGCTTATAGCAGTAAGTGCCATCTAGGAGATACTTGTGAGGGGTGTTTTTTTCTTTTTTGTTAACATAAGAAAATTTTATGAGGTATTTTAAATTTAATGTTCTGCAATAAAGTGGTGTTAAAATATTGTAATCTCATATCCACAAAAGAAAACCAAAGAGAGACACGTTATGGCAGCCATTTAACAGCTGTAACCTTATGGTGATAGAGAAAGTGAGATTTTAAACATAGTGTCTTTCACTTTAATTTCTCTGGGATTACTTTTCAAGTAGTGGACAGAAATCCACGGCTACATAGCCATGTCTTAATAAGCACATTAGACATGTATGTGCATCCCTGATAGGCCATTTTTGAAGTAACTTGATCTGCACAGAAAGGACAGAGGGTAGGGACAAGATACTTTCCACTTGTTGCTTTTTTGGCAGATCTCTTTAGAGTTCAACCAAAGCAGTTGAGGGTATAGGTCCTTCCACCATAGATAAAAAGCTGCTGTAAAACAAATGCTGCAAAAAATATGGTGGGAGCTGCTCTGACTGAGTCAGCTTTTGCCATAGGTGATAACAGGTTGGCAAAGGCTGATAAAAATTAGTGTACTTCCATGGTCCTGTGCATCTTTAAGTGTTAGAAAAAAGTACAAGAAGTGATCAAAATATATAGGGAATATTTACGTTAAATATTTGCTATAGGAAAAGGCACATTGCCATTAATCATCCTCATAATCCCCCTTTTCTCCAAATACAGTTACCCCATCATTCCTGCCACTTTCTGAAGCAGTTCTAGAAATCCTCTTTTCATGAATGTTTTCAACAGGTGTGATAAAAAATACAGTGACTGCTACCACTGAGTACCACCCAATGGAAAGGCAGGCTTGTAAAGATAGCAGGGTGTTTCCTCATCACCCTATTCACTGGATCTGGCACCTTTCAATTTCTGGCTCTTTCCCAAAGTCAAAACGACCATGATAAATGTTTTAAATTGACTTAGGACATCAAGGGACCAGTGTAACTAAAGTACTCACAAAAGAGGCCTTCTAGAGCTGCTTCAAAAGTGGCAAAAAGGATGGGATAAGTGTATTTGAGCAAGGAGGTATATTTTGAAGGGAATTAATGGCCATGTACCTTTTCCTGTAATATTTTAAAATGTAAACATTCACCATATTTTTAGATCACAAATTCTAGATTAATATATCTTAGGTTTTCTAAATATCATAAAATCTTTTTACATAAATAAAATGTTCACCTTCTTCTCTCCCCTATTTATGGCTAAATCAGTTAACAAATACTACTGTACATTTTGTGAAGCAATTCTCCATTGGACCAGTGACTGAGAGGAAGAGCTTCCAAAATAAACAGGAGGTTGTTTGTTTGTTTTTTAGTCTTCTGTGCCTGCTCTTGAGTCAATGTGTATCTGCCTTTGAAAACCAGTAAGAGTGAACTCATTCCTGGAATACCACTAGTCTCTCATTTGCACTTTAACTACTGAAAGGTAACCTGAGGTGACCTTGATATGCTCTGTCTCCAAAGGGTGCAGTCTTCTGTCTCTAAGCTCCAGAGGCCCCCTTTTCCACAAAAATATACTTGAGCAATTAGAACATGTGGCAGAATCTGTTTGTTTACCCCCAGTAGCTTTCTCTTCAGCCTTCCCTAGGAGGAAACCTGTCCCTAAAAAATGGTCTTTGGTGAGAGCACATAGCTCAGTATTTTTGACAAAAATTAGGCAAATACACAAACTTCCTTGAATAATGTTTCATGTAGTAAGTTACCAGTAGAATTTAACACCATGATTTTTTTTCCCACAATGAATCTTTATGTGTCCTTTTCTTGTAACAAAAATTAACTAATGGACGTTTTTCACTGTCCTTGTCCTGTCGCCACTATTGCTACAAATCTCAGAGTAGAACTTAATGGTAAGAGTTACTACTTAATTAACCATGTTCATTCTTAAGCAAATCAATTTATCTTAAATGTGTGGTGTCTGGATTTTTACTCTGATTTTGTTGTTCCAATTTTAGTCTAGTAAAATGCATATGTAAAGGTCTCTGAATCCCATTTAACAAATCTTCACATTTGGAGGATATTTTAAAATCAACATACAATGAAAAACACAGATAATAATTAGGACAACAATAAATACAACTGTCACATACCCCCTCCAAAGTGACATGAATAAAATCAATAAAAAGACCACTTATGATGAAAAGACTGATTTGCTTACAAGTAGGTATTACTATTTAGTAAACACAAGATAAATAAAACAGCTTCTTAAAAATGGATCAAAAATTACAGATAGCTGGGCATGATGGAGCACGCCTGTAATCCCAGCACTCAGGAGTCTGAGGCAGGAGGATAACTGTGAGTTCGAGACCAGCCTGGGCTACACAGTGAGTTCCAGGTCAGTCTCAACTACACAGTGAGACCCTGTCTCAAAAAAAATACAGATAACATCAAAATATGAAAATAACGCCCTACTTTATATATAATGATAAATTGAAACACCTATCAATTTGGCAAATTGAAATATTTTGTTAGTATGTAATGCTGAGTCTATGGAAAACAATGTACAAAAGTGTCAGCTGGAAAAACAGTCTTTTGGGAACTATTAAAATGAATAATATACAAACTCCTTGACCTAGCAATTTCATGTTAGGTAAGTAACACTACAGATGCATTTGTACACATGAGCAAAAATATGTATCCTACAATTTTGGCTGCAGAAAAACTGGAAACAACTTACAAACAATAGAATTCTAACCTGCTATTAAAAAGAATGATACAGAGCTGTGTGCACTAATACACAAAGAATTCCAACACATTCAGTGTTTATACAACCCTGTGTATTTATATGTGTGTCTATACCTACAATACATAGCTATATATGCACAGAAAATATTAAGAAAGCAGGTAGAGCATTTAATGTTGATTTCTCAACTGTACTACAGAGAAGAAGCAGGAAGAAGAGAAACTTTTTCTGCTCTTTCTCGAGTGGCTACGGTATTTTTCACAGCCCAAACTGGTTACTTTATAGTAAACACCCTAGTTTGCTGTACCTTGTCAGGCTAATTCTCTCTTAAATTGAAGCTTTTCCTGAGAACAGTCAAGAAAATTTACATAATAAAATGTCTAGCTGCCAGACCAAAACACTCAGCAGCCCTAGGGGCCAAGTCCTGGTCTCTGCCCCCAGCATTACCTTTGGTAGGATGCTTAGGTAAGAGGACTCGCTGGCAGCTTTTAGAAAGCTAGAGGTGGATGGTGGTGGGGTCCTGGTGAGGTCACTGAGCAGGTCATCGTTCCTGATGCTCCTGGTGGCGATAAGGCTGGCACTGCTCTGACTGAGGCTTCCACAGCGCGCCAGGTCAGCATCGTGGAGCGAGCCCTTCTCATGGCACCGGTACCTTGCGTCAGGGCAGCCCAGGGCCTCTTCAAACACAGACTCCTCATCAGAGAGCTGCAGCTTCTCCAGTTCCTTGTTGATTTTCTGCACATCTGCCACGGTAGTGCCCGTGGACAGGCGGCCATCAGGCTTGGTGTACTCGGCGCAGAGACTGAGGATGGTCTCCAGACGCTGTCTCTCCTGGGGCACAAAGGGGAGGGCAAGGTCAGCGAGCTTGTGAGAAAGGAGATGACTCTGAACAAAAAGACTGAAGAAGCCAGCGTTTTCATCCATGTATCTACCAACCTACACTCAACTGGGGACAGTTTTCCTTCGTCTTTCATGGATGCATCACTTAGGGGTCCAGGCGGAACGTCTGCTTTCTTTATTTTTGTGGTTAAAAGAATGTCTTTTTTAAGAAAACCATTTTAATTCTCCTAAGTTCACCTTAATACTAAATAGGATAAGATGCTTAATAGCTATAATTCAACACTGTATTCCAGTTTAGTCCTTTTCAAGGAGCTTGCTGTGAACTCGTTTGTATTTTTTTTTGGTACCGGAGATTGAACTCAGGACCTTGCGTTTGCAAAGCAGGCTGCGGAACCACTGAGCTAAATCCCCAGCCCCTGGGTCTGTATTTTAATAGAAGCCATGAATCAAGTATTTAGATAGATGTAGCTAACTACAATGGAAAATGAAAATTTATAGATGTTTTCTCATGAGATCAGAGTGAAAAAAAAAATCTAACAAAGGATATGATAAAAGTTGGTTTAGAAATAATTTATCAATAGGCATTATACCTTTTTTTGGAACAAGTATAATTTACACAAATCATACGTCTCTTTCTGTCAAATATTAACATGCTCATAGTAATTTTTTTTTAGCTGAAATAGTCTTTTAGTTGTGAAAACCATTTTTGGCTACAAATAATAAACTTTATCAGAATTTAACACAATTTACAAATGTCCTAAGAATTCATAAGCCACATAATATTTTAAGTAGAAAAACACTAATTTTAAAAGTTTGGTACTGTTTCTATGGTTTGTATGTATTAACTGGTCTCTTCATAAGAAACACAGCTGAAAATCGATCCTATTAAGCATTGTAAAACAAAGGCAAAAGCTAATCAACTTTTAACAAAAATTGTATACAACACTTCCAAGTATCAAAGATATTATTTAGTGGTTAACTGCCCGGTACAAAATACTAAATAAAACACATTTCCTGGATTGTTTTCCATTTGCAGCCTCTCTGTTATCCAAAATAAGGATTTCTTCCTTTTTTGGGGGGGGGGGTACCGGGGATTGAACTCCAGTCCTTGCGCTTGTAAGGCAGGCCACTGAACCACTGAGCTGAATCCCTGGCCCCAAGGATTTCTGATAATAAAACCTGCAGTGTAATTTATTCAGTGTAGAACACTCCATCTCCCCATTCGGTACTTAATTTTCTCCCCCAGTGACCCCAGCGTGGAACCACATTATTAAAAGCATTAAGTAACTAAGATTTATGCTTCAGATTAAGACATCATTTGAGTAATTTCAAATGATGTACAGCTCCTCATGTAAAAAGGATGCTTTTTGGTCACAATTTCTTAAAAAAAAGTTATATTCAAATAACCTGACCTATTATGCCTTAGCAATTACAAAACCATGATTTTGACACATGGCAATTTATAAGTTAAGTAAATGTGAACTGCTATAAGATGTGAAGAGCTGTTCTTCTGTTTAAGTGTTCAATTTAAGAGTGCTGCAAAACTCAGGTAATGACTGTATTTTTTTTAGTTAGCATAACCAGCCCACGGTGTGCTAAGTCATAAAGTACAAACCCAGTGTAGGTAATCCCTTTACTAAGTTACAAAACTTTTGGCAAACCAATACAGTACTCTTTAATGCAATAAAATAATATTTCTGTTGGAGTCATATATTACTTCAGTGATAAATTTCACTCCAAAAGTATCATTTAGGTACCAAATCAAAACACTGTGGTTTCTAACAAAGCAAGTTATTTTATACAAATTAATGTCTTTTACAACTATACAGTTTCTTCTTTTAAAGGGTGCACAATTCTAGCTTGCAGCAGCAGCAGCAGCAGCAGGGCAACTGTGCATACTAAAGGGTGGCTCTGTTTTGTTCTGTGGTTGGTCCACACCCAGGTGATGTCCCAAAGCCCCAAAAGCTTTAAAACTCGACCTTAAGAAGACTCAATGTCCATACCAATTTTTTTTCCAAGTACTATTTAAAAAATGGTTACATTTTCATATAGATACTGGAATCCTAACAAGTAGTCCTCTCAAGTCATACTAACGTCAGATGATCCCTGTGATTTAGAACCCCTGTACCTTTCTTCTTCTTCTTTTTTTTTGGTACCGGGGATTGAACGTGGGTCCTTACGAGGCAGGTGCTGGAACAACTGAGCTAAATCCCCAGCCCCCCTGTATCTTTCTTTTGATAAAAATCACATAGCCTCACTCCAGCTTATCAAAAAAAATTCTACCAGAAATATAGTTGTTTTTTAAATAACAAATAAATATACTGTCAGCTTGGAGAGACCTGGGGGATCTGGTGCTAGATACCAACTTTCTTTACCATTTCTCTACAATGTGGCTGCTGCCATTGGAGTCCTTGTGCTTCCTCTTGCTGAAGAGGCCAATTCTTCAATCTCAGCATTTAATTTACGGATTACCCATTTCATTGCTTCTCGGCCTTTCTTAGCATCGGAACATATCACGCTTGCCATCAGGCCTTCAAGGTAACTCCCTAGGATGACTCCTTTCCCTGTGGTTATGACCTCCTGAGTCAAAAACCAGTTTTTTCTGGGTCCTGAGGGTGTGCTTTGTATGTAAGTCTCTCACCTACTGAAATTATATTTGTAAATGATATATTAGTAGATTCAAGTTCCATTGTTTTTTCTACAGGACCAACTATAGAATATTCTTGAACATATGTTTTGGTTCTTGCTGCACCAATAATCGTTCACCAGAGCAACTGTAATCTAGCGGTCATGATCAGACCAGTGATGGACAATCTTTTTGGTCTCAAGTTGAGACCTCACAATGGAAGGCAGTCCCCACTCTGTGCTGAGAAGTCTGTGGCTGCGCAGCTTTCCAGAGGGATCTATATGTGCAGCACATCAATTCCAACCACTCTGGAGTTCGTAGGGTTTGGGTATTTCTACATCGCAACTGTTGTTACAGTTTCCCAGGGGTGGTCAAACATGTGCTCCAAAGTCCAGATCTTCTTGGTGCCCATGGCCTGCACTATGTCACGTGACCTAAACTCATGTCTGGCTGTTACCTTCATCGGCATTGTCTATCGCAGGTGGATCTATCATCACTTAGTAAGCCTTCTCTTGATGTATCAAATCTCCAAACACTTCAAAGATTTTTAAAATCTCTACTGCTCATCCATCTTCCTCCTGCCTTCTATTTGCCTACCTTCAAAAATACCTAGCCCAAAGACCTGGGATTTAGCTCAGTGGTTCAGTGCCCAAGGACCCGAGTTCAATCCCTGGTACCAAAAAAAAAAAAAAAACCCAAAACACTCATGCTTAAAATTAACTCTCTAACCTCTCACAGAAATAGTTACATACACAGAGACATTAAAAGGTATTTATAGAATCTTTTAATTTTAAAAAGACATGTATTTCTTTACTTTTTAAAAAAAAAACCTAGTCCTTTTGTTACTACAAACAACACTCATGCTTAAAATTAACTCTCTAACCTCTCACAGAAATAGTTACATACACAGAGACATTAAAAGGTATTTATAGAATCTTTTAATTTTAAAAAGACATGTATTTCTTTACTTTTTAAAAATTACTTCAGAATTTTCAAAGTTTTTATGCTTGGCCATTGTGTAAGTCTTTCCCACTAGTTTCTCATAGGAATGACTACAATTATTAAAAAGTATAAATGTTGCACTAGAACGAAAACCACTTCATGTCAAGTCCAGATAGAAAGACATCAGTGTTGCTCAGATTCTGAGATCATCAATGTTTGATTCATTTAGCTAGAAAATAAAGTGATAGTTCATTTGTTAAAAAAAAATCTATCTATCTCCATAGGTATTGATGGCTATAATAATAGAACCACCAGTTGGCCCCTCGTCAGACTCCCCATACAAAACAGGTAGACATTTATAGTTTTTAACTTTAAGTAAATTCATTACATTTTGAGCAACAGCAAATAACTTACAAAATGCTTCTCATAAACCTAGACGACACTGCTTGGGATAGGGAACCACAAACACCTTTACCTTTCACTTTAATTCCAATGACAAAAGTGAGAAAACAACAAACAAATAAAAATAAACGATAAAGACCATGTGTTGTAATTACATTTACCACATTCAAAAGAGACTTCAAAAGCTTCCATAGAAAAATACTTTTCAACTAGTTATTAATCATAAAATAGGAACATATCACATAGTTCTAGGCTGCTGTTTTTATTCCAGTTGTAGCTAATTTGTAAGACAAAATTCAGTTTTTTGTTAGTTGAGAGAGTAACAAGAAGAAAAGCAAAAAAGAAACAGACCAACAAACTCCTTGGTTTTCATTAGCTACATTAATTAAATGACAAGTATATCTGACTTATACCCTTCTCAAAGCGGGCAGCAGCTTGATCAAAAAGACCACTCACTATACTCGTTCCCATAAACTCCCACCTCCCTTTCACTGCCTGAACATCTGGACTCCAGCCGCGGCTCCGTCTTCATGGCCCCCTTGCAGGATAGGCAATCATAGCTACAGGACCTTGGCCCCGGCCTCCTCTGCTCCCTGTCTATCCAGGAGCCTGGTGCTTATATAGGTCTGCAGCTGCCACCACCTGCCAAGCCCTACCCATCTCAGCTTTATAAGTAGGGAGTTGGGGGACACAGCATTTATTGCCTTATTTTAAACGTCTCCAACAATGATGAAAGGACCACATGGGAATATGCAAAAACATGCTGCAAGGGCATGGGTAAGGGGAGGGACAGGGACAAAAAGTTATCTTACCCCTTCTCTGCAGTTGTTCCCATATTAAAGGTTAATCTCCAAAGAGTTCTCTTTATTCTAATTAAGCAATTGAAGCATCTAGACTCAGTCTATACTAATCTTCACAGATCATAATATGTTTATATCAGCCTTGCTATGTATACCTTTGCAATTATCTGAAAGTTGTCAATTTTCATTTGTCAGGGCCCCAGTGAATGGCACTGTTGTCA